TGATGATCTGGTTGTGTAAGTTAAACAGCACTGGACCTCAGTAAGTGTAACATTTGATGACCAATATAAGGTTGTGTAAGTTAAACAGCACTGGACCTCAGTAAGTGTAACATTTGATGACCAATATAAGGTTGTGTAAGTTAAACAGCATTGGACCTCAGTAAGTGTAACATTTGATGACCAATATAAGGTTGTGTAAGTTAAACAGCACTGGACCTCAGTAAGTGTAACATTTGATGACCAATATAAGGCTGTGTAAGTTAAACAGCATTGTACCTCAGTAAGTGTAACATTTGATGACCAATATAATAATGTGTAAGTTAAACAGCACTGGACCTCAGTAAGTGTAACATTTGATGACCAATATAAGGTTGTGTAAGTTAAACAGCACTGGACCTCAGTAAATGTAACATTTGATGACCAATATAAGGTTGTGTAAGTTAAACAGCACTGGACCTCAGTAAGTGTAACATTTGATACAACAAATTCTACAGGTTATAAAACACCTGGTACTCAGCACTAATGGAGTAACTTAGGGACATTTCAAACACCTGGCCGTTGTCAAGGTAGTCTTATAACAGCGCATTTCAACGGCATAGCTCAGATTATTGAGTGCCAGTAAAGCTATTCAGTAGGAAGATGCGTATTTAAAACGAGAAACCGGTTTCTCGAGTTGCTCTTCGCAGTGTCACGTGCTGTTCATGTGACGTTTCAGGGTTTTGCTGGGCTACAATACCTACGAGTTGAGTCTCTCTCTCTCGTTCAAAATCAGAGTTGTGAGGTTCCTCAGGGAACAAGTCTGTCCGAGGGCGAACGTGTGTATGTGTTTGTGAGTGAAAAGCCGGCGAAGGCCAGTATCTTAGCTCTGTTTAACGAAGTTTCTATGTGATGCTAAATTTCATTTTATCTTCTTGTCGCTGGTTCGTCATTTTAGGTTGTGAAGAGCAGCACAAACAGAAGTAAAGTAGATTCGGTATCATTGTTATTGTGGCATCTTCATATCCGTACCTCGGTCTGTGTGAACGTCTGCCGTAAAAGGTTTCTATCGTTACTAAGACTTCGTTTGACTTTTGTATTAATGTCAGCGACTGGTGGTGACACAGTAAAACAAGAAGTGTTGTGAAGCCTTAAAATACTGAGAAAGTATCGCCTCGTGTGTAATATTCCGATTTGTCAAAGAAAGGGTGAACAGGTGATCTAGATTCGACAGCCTTCTCTTATCTACTACTTAGTTGTTTTGTATCACAAAAACGGACGTTTCGGATGAAACTAATTCTTGTTAATAAGAAAATGTGCAGATAACCACCTCAAATCCTGTAATCGACATGAAAGTTAAATGGAACAGACGTTTAGACGGTTTTCCGCGCCGTGATCAGCGTCCTCTGTCGACTGAGCTCGAATATGAACACGTTGATGAATCAGATGTATCAGTGTCGTTGCAAGACTCCGAAGAATTTTTTGACGAGCATAAAAATAAGAAACCGAAACGTGGAAGATTTCTAAACATTTTCAAGTTGATAACAAAGAAACAAAAGTCTCCAGAGTTTGAAACAAAAATAAGGAATGAAAAATCTTTACAGTCTCAAACTGATTATTCTCGATGCCAGTATCATACAAGCTTATTACCGACCAATGTCGAGTCTTCGGGCTCGAGCACTAGTGTGGCTATTGAAGATGTTCTTCTGGAAGTCATGGCTGCGCCAAAGGATCCTACACAATCGGAGGAAGCAGTGACAGCAAATTCTTCTCGAGGTAAAAGTGGAAATATACAAACCTCGGCTACTCTTTCTTCGTGGTTAGATCCCAACATTGCTTGCCAAGAAAAAAATGTTGACGAAAAAGATTTCAACTGGGAAACAACGTCAGTTTCTTCGACGGATTCCAATTCTGAGGGAAAAACTTCATCAGAGAAGGATGACCGTGTGAATGATAAGCCAACCTTTGATGAGAGGACTAACATAAAAAATCATTATTCTGAAATTGTCACATGTCAACCGAAGCAGAGAAGATCTGAAGAAGAGCACTTGATTAAAATTAGAAGCCTAGAAATGGTCAAACATATCTCGGATATTTCCAAGAATGAAAAATCAGTAAAATTAACTACCCGCGATTTGCAAGAGTCCTCCACATGTGCATCAGCGTCTCATTCCAAAACTCTCTTAAATCTTCCACTGTCCGAAGAGGCAGAGAGCAAAGAAATCAATAAGAAAATGAATACTGAAAACTACAAGTTTACTTCTTCAAAAAGCACAATCAAACAGACAAAGACAGATGAAGATTTGTCGACGAAGAAAAATGTTGATGCTCTAAAGGCACCAGAAAAAGCGATAATAATAAACAAGAACCAGCATAAAACACAACAGCATGTAAGGTTTGTGGATCAGTTACCCGAAGGAGCAGATACTTGGTCCTGTAAGAGTTCCAGTTCAGTTATTACAACCGAAATATCTCCTCTTATTGACGATGAAAAAGATAGTATAGGTTATCGGGACGAACAAGAAACTGAAACAAAGGATGTGAAACAGAAGCGCCATATGTTTAGAGATGGACAGGCAAAGAAGTCGGCTAGAGAGTCAAAGAGAAAAGACATATTTCCGCCTAAGTTTACAGCGAATCTTCACGAAACAAAAGCAAGGGGAAACACTTACTTAGAAGATGAGAAACCAAAAGATGACTTCCTAACAGATCTGGACTTTTCTAAAACGGAATCTGTCAAAATAACACGAACTGGCTGGTCCAGCCAAGATATGATTGTACTGGGAACAAATGATCCACCACAACGGATGGGAAACCATCCATCAACGTTTCGGAACCAAAAAGAAAGAAGCGTTGATTTGGTTCGGCCTGATTCGCAAAAGACTGCACAGAATGAACACGAAAAGCCAGATATCGTGACTTCATGTGGTCCACAAATGATTAAGAAGAAAATGATCGTCTCTTCTCCCGTCCCATCAGATTCTCCTACTCCGTCCACGTCCTCACCCTTCCATAAGACAGGTGACATTAAGCGAGGCACATGCATTGCCTGCCACCTACCACAGACGACTTCAGGACAAAAGGAAGATACCCCTGCACCAAATGGTACCAAAACTTGCAACTTTGAAACCAGAGACTCCCAATTAGAGAATGTAAAACTACCAGCAAAATACTCCGATGTCAGCAGTCTTACCCTTTCCCAACTAGAGATACTGGTACTACAGTGGATACACGAGAATGGAAATCCTCTTTATTTTTCTGAAAGTAAGAAATTGTGCGTATTTGTAGTGCCATCTGTCGGCTTCTTCAAGAGTTGTCTTCTTGATGTACAATATTTAGTTCTGATTTTTAATCTTGTGGAACCACTTTTTACTTGCTTAAAATAATATTATGATATGCATAAAAGTACTTCAGGCTTTGTTTATTTTGTTGTTAAGCGAAAATCTACACAATGGGCTGTCTATGTTCTGCTCACTGCGGGTATCTAAATCCGATTTTTAGCGTTATAAGCCTTCAGACTTATCGCTGTGTTACCGGGAAACATTTTAGTCATTTGTGTTAAATAGTGTTACTTACCAAATGACTGTAGAGGTATGATTTTTTTACTTATTCTTACCTTTGAGATCATGAAAATGCCCGGCTTATGTTACTTATCGTATTTTGTGTTATACAAGTTACTGAGTTTGATAAAAGATTTAGCAAGGTTCTACATGAACAAGTGTGTTAGGTTATTCCTTGGGTTGTTCTGTGAGGTTCTACATGAACAATTGTTGGGTTGTTCTATGAGGTTGTACATGAACAACTGTTGGGTTGTTCTGTGAGGTTCTACATGAACAACTGTTGGGTTGTTCTGTGAGGTTCTACATGAACAGTTGTTGGGTTGTTCTATGAGTTTCTACATGAACAATTGTTGGGTTGTGAGATTCTACATGAACAGCTGTTGGATTATTCTGTAAGGTTCTATATGAACAATTATTGGGTTGTTTTGTGAGGTTCTATATGAACAATTGTTGGGTTGTTCTGTGAGGTTTTATACGAACAGCTGTTGGGTTGTGAGGTTCTATATGAACAACTGTTGGGTTGTTCTGTGAGGTTTTACATGAACAGGTTTAAGGTATTCTATGAGATTCTACATATTAGTTAATAATACGTAGTTCGTTCCCGATTAAAATTTCCATGGTTTTAACTTCTTTTTTAACCAAAGCTACACTCCATAATAATATCCTAATGTATGCCACAGAAGTATAAAAATATTCAAAGACAAATAGAGGCAGGGATTTTTAAGAGTTTCAATAAATCGTTTATTGCCTAAGACTTGATTTGCAGATCACGTCTCTACCCCTAAGGGTGGGGCGTATTCCGTTTAAAATATCGGCTATTAACTGAAAGAGTAGGATATATTGTAGGAAGAGTCTTACAAGTCTACCGTTCTTGTGCCCAGGGTTGAGACCGAAGTGTACTTGTTTGCTATAAAAACACATTCCTCCTCTATGTTCATTGATGTAAAAACAAAAGGTGTTGTCGAAGTTTCCTAGGTCGTGAAAGGGCTTGGGGATAATCTTGTTTAGCCACTCAAGACAAAACGACCATAGCTTTTCCTACAGCTACAAAACAACGAAACGACCGTAGCTTTTCCTACAGTTACAGGAGAACGAAACGACCGTAGCTTTTCCTAAAGCTACAAAACAACGAAACGACCGTAGCTTTTCCTACAGTTACAGGAGAACGAAACGACCGTAGCTTTTCCTAAAGCT